CGGGGCTTCCAGCTAACTCTATCAAGCCTCTTCAGCTGCTCCAGAACCCAGCAGCACAAGTGGTCTTTAATGAACCTAAACAAGCACATGTCACTCCGCTGCTCATCCGTTTGCACTGGCTGCCAGTTGCTGCTCGCATCAAATTCAAAGCTCTGATGTTTGCCTACAAAGCGACTTCTGGCTTTGCTCCTTCTTATCTGCTCTCACTTCTGCAGATCTATTTGCTCTTCAGAAACTTCTGTGAAGCGATCTATGAATGAACGTCGCCTCGTGGTTCCATCCCAAAGAGGGAAGAAATCACTTTCGTGAACGCTCACGCTCAATCTGCCCAGTTGGTGGAATGAACTCCCTAACTGCATCGGAACAGCAGAGTCACTTGCTATTTTCAAGAAACGACTAAAAACTCAACTATTTAGTCTCCACTTCACTTCCTAATCTGCAATTGCCTCTCTGGATATCACACTAACTGTACTCAAAAAAAAAAAAAATTACTAATACTTTCCTTCTTAGGCTTTACAGACCTGAAACTTGCCTATAGCACTTATTCATTGTTGCTCTTATAGTTGTGTAAATTGCTTCCTTGTCCTCATTTGTAAGTCGCTTTGGATAAAAGCGTCTGCTAAATGACTAAATATAAATCAACAAATATATAATAACACATTGCCAGTGTAACTAATAATTTCATAACAGCACGTTTTTTTAATTCACTTTTTTTAACGTGACAGTTTCCGCACTATGAAAATGGACAACCAAAACACACTTCAGCAGATTTGTTTGTGATTTATTCATAAGCGAACATGCTTACAGTAAACAGCGTTGATGTCTTGGTGACAGCTTAGCTTCTCTTTTATCTACGGGCCGGGGTTCACTGTGTGTTAATGCAAATCAAAAACGGCATCATTTCTGTTCAGACGGCTAAAACACTATCATATAATTGAATCTGTTCATCAATAAAAAGCGCAACTCCGGTAACAGTAGCGGGGGAGCGATATAATTCAAAGGCCCGTCCAAGATGAGGTAATATTTATTTTGAAGCATGACTCATATGGAGTGAATGAAATATTTTAAGAAGCTTTCAAATACATCAAGCTCTTAAGAAGCCTCCTTATATTACATGCTTTCAAACATCAGAGCACTTCTTCAACAAAGCAGCGTTTTACATTAGGGCTCCAGCAAAAGAAGGTATTTATTATGCTTTATTCTCACTGCCATTGTAAAATAGTGTATATCAACTCTGTGACGGCAGATTTAAACAGTCACCATATGAAATGCACAGCAGCCTACTAACTCATTATCGCAAAAATATCTGCGCCATAATATACACGTTAACGTCAGATTGTTATGAAATAGATCAGTTAGAGGGTCATAATCAAGCGTTATGATGCTGGATGATAAACCCGGCTGGATGGGAAAAGGAACAGCGTGTGTCGCCGCTATGTGTGCGATGGGAATACAACCCTTCAGAGTGTGAATATTTATTGGACATTGTTGAGTGCTGGGGAACATGGTTAATGGTTAGTCCTTCTGAGCAAGTCCTGCAAGATTAGCACTTACATGTCTTTAGTGCCGACGCTGCGAACGGTCGTAAAAGTGAGCCCTCGTCTGCTCTTGTAAATCAAATCATGTTTTGAGCGGTGATGATGATTCTGCCAATTAGCCGAGGCTGGACTGGTGAAAATTACTACTCGCTATTACACACGGCCCATTCTTGAGATCTATAGCACCCCCCTCGATTTGGCAATCTCCATACAGGACTAAACGTGATAAGAAATGAATTATACTATTGATGAGGTCCTTAACAAGGTAATAACCGCGGCTCCCCGGTCAATAATTATTCCGATAAGAATATCTTTATTATGAAAATGCCGACTACAGCAGAAAGTCACCGCACCAAAACAATACCCGGTGGTGTAATTGCCTTTGTCTGAAATTATAGTTTTCATTAAACGGAATGCTGCATGTTATTGATTGTTTAAATAAGACTCGATATCTTCCTGTTTCAAAGCGCTGTGAAATTGCACGCCATTGTAATATTGCAAAGCATTGTTGTGTCTGTTCATCAATGTTATGAGATTCACACTATAACGAGTCAAGGACTGTTGGACACAATAACTGCTGTATCTAAATGTCATTTTATGGAGGTTATTTTATGGAGGTTAGTTCACAGAACAAAAAAAAAAAAAAAAAGAGGCAAATCGCAGCTTCTATCCTCATGAGTTCATCTACTGTGTGAGGAGAAAGCAGAGAGGGATATGACAGACTTGTACTATGCTGCATTCTGAGTCAGTGGTGAATTCAAATCTTTTTAAATGCATTAAAGTGCAGCGCTTATCTTAGCCTTACCCTGGAGTTTGTTCATCCTCCTTCTATGCCAGTGATCATATGAGGCTTCACGTGCATGGGAGCAAAGCGATCATTTGAATGGATGAAGATGTCGGTCTTATGGAAAAGAAAACTTGATGAGAACAATAGACAGTTCCAAGTTGAATGGACAGATAAGTATTAAGTATGCGTTTATTTTGCCACAAGCCAGCACAAAGCCATTCTGCTTGATTTGTAATGAGACATTTGGACTTGTAAAGAGTGGAAATGTGAAACACCACTATGAAACAAAACATAGACATTTTAAACAGCAACTACAACACCTAAAGTTTTCATTACACACCTTTTGTACTTTTCACCAACTAGCATCATCATGGTTTACCTTTTGTTGTGTTTTGTAAAAAAAAAGCATTTATTTTAGTGGTTTTGCCATATTTGCATTGTATTTAATGTTTCGAATGCAAATGCAACTTTATTAATTCATTCATTCATTTTCTTTTCGTCTTAGTCCCTTTATTAATCTGGGGTCACTACAGCGGAAGGAACTGCCAACTTATCTAGCATATGTTTTACGCAGTGGATGCCCTTCCAGCCACAACCCATCACTGGGAAACATCCATACACTCTCATTCACACACATACACTGCACAACAATTTTTTGTCTTGTGGGAGAAACCAGAGCACCAGGAAGAAACCGATCACCGGGAGAACATGCAAACTCAACACAGAAATGCCAACTGACCCAGCCAAGACTCGAACCAGCAACCTTCTTGCTGTGAGGCGATCATGCTCCCCACTGTGCACCCGTGATGCCTGAAACTTTATTTAAAAAAGAATAAATAGTATTGACTTGTGATGCATGTTATGGATGTTTATTAAAAACAAGCTATGTAATATCAATTGTTCTGGACCTTTGACCTTAATAAAAATGAAGATGTGGACCTTTTAATGTAGAAATTGAGAACTTTTGATATATAGAATTAACACAAGTAAGAAACAGCTAATCAAATGCCCAAACTTAACCCTCAGTTTTAAGAGTTTGCTGGTCTGCTGGAGCCTTCAGGTGTTTGTGCACACAATGTCCATCCCACAGAAAAGCTGAGAAAAAATAACTCATGCAACAAGACAATGATAACAAGCACACCAGCAAATCTACAATAGAACGGCTTAAAAACAAACAAAAAAAATGAGTAAAACTCCTCCAGAATGATCTGAGAGACTGATAAGGTCATAAAGAAAATGAAAATTTTAAGTAATTACTGCTAAAAGTGGATCTACAGGAATTTGAATCATATAAGACGTCCTACGTTTGTCACCCATAGCTTTTCTATATTAGCTTTGTTTTTTGTTACACAAATAATGTCTATTGATGTGTTTCATCTGAGGTTTTAGTTGGCAAATTTTAAGACCTCCCTAAGACCATATAGTCTTTTTATGATGTTCTGATAAAGTAAACCATGGAATTAAAATAGGGTGTCCTTACTTTTACATGACTATATGTATGAAATTACTACATTATGTCAAATACATACACTCACCGACCACTTTATTAGGTATGCATTACTAGTACCGGGTTAGACCCCCATTTGCCTTCAGTCTTTCATGGAATAGATTCAATAAGGTACTGGAAATATTCCTTTGAGATTTTGGTCCATATTGACATGATAGCATCATGCAGTTGCTGCAGTTTTGTCGGCTCCACATCTATGATGCAAATCTCCCGTTCCACCACACCCCAAAGGTGCTCTATTGAAATAAGATCTGGTGGCTGTAGAGGCCATTTGAGTACAGTAAACTCATGTTTAAGAAATGAGTCTGCAATGATTCGCTCTTTATGACAAGGTGAGTTTTCCTGCCGGAAGTAGCCATCAGAAGATGGGTACACTGTGGTCATAAAGGGATAAAAAATATCCCCACACCATTACACCACCATCACCACCCTGAACCACTGTTACAAGGCAGGATGGATCCATGCTTTAATGTTATTGATGCCAAATTCTGACCCTACCATCCGAATAACATCGAAAAATACCACTTACTAGATATTTTCAATTTTTTTAACCATTTGCTATAAACCCTAGAGATGGTTGTGAGTGTAAATCCCAGTAGATCAGCAGTTTCTGAAATACTCAGACCAGCCAGTGTGGCACTAACAACCATGCCATGTTCAAAGTCACTTAAATCACCTTTCTTCCCCATTCTGATGCTTGGTTTGAACTTCAGCAGATCGTCTTGACTATAGCTGCATCCGAAACTGCATACTTCCATACTATATAGTACGCTAAAATCAGTATGCGAGCCGAGTAGTATGTCCGAATTCATAGAATTCGAAAATCAGTAGGCGAGAAGTACCTGGATGACTTACTAATTCCGGCGAGATTCTGAAGTGCGCATCCCATGCATGCTGCGCTATCCCATAATGCCCCATGAGAGAATTCATGAATGGAAGTGAGGCGACGCAATTGACGCAGGTAGGTCACGTGACCATGACAAAATGGCGTATGTAGTGCGTCCGAATTCCATTCATACTTTTCACATTCATACTGTATAGAACATACTTTTCTAATGGCAGAGTAGTACGTTTAAATTCAAATGCAGTACCTATTGAGTAGTAGGCGGTTTCAGACGCAGCCTATGTCTACATGCCTAAAAGCATTGAGTTGCTGCCATGTGATTGGCTGATTAAAAAATTTGCATTAACGAGCAGTTGGACTGGTGTACCAAATAAAGTGGCCAGTAAAGTTACATAACATACAGTTCAAAGTAGCTTTCGTACAACAGCTCTGTTAATATGGCCCATTAAGTATGAACGTTCCAATCTGATCCTTGGTGTGAACCAAACAAGTAGACTGAGACCTCTGAAAACTTCTGTGGCTTGACTGTAATATGCAATACAGACCAAATACATCTAAACAAGCCAACAAAACAATTTCAGCACACCCTACTGTCGCTGGTCAGTAAACAGTTGACATTCAGATTGTATGCAGAGAAGGCATTTTTAGAGTGCAAGCTAAATTCTCTTTGACCTTATTGATCCTGGAAGGAGATAAATTTGGATAGTTTTGAACATTTTTGGCAGGGCTATCACCACTGTCTTCTAGTTGGACGTCTGTATAGGAGTTTTGTTCCTCCTCGACTTCTTCCACTTCCATCTGTAGGATAAGGAAACATTCAGCTTCTTATAGTACTTGCTGCACTGTAGTTTTAACATACAATAAAACGTAAGGCTGGAAGGTGGCATTATGCATAATGCTTTTCATCTTCACCTGTTCTAATGGAAGATCCACCTTTATATTTTCATCTTCCGGGACTTCAGATGCTACTACTGCCTCCTTCCTTTTGTTGGTGGCTCTGAAGACACTTCTTTCTGCAAAGAGCAATAAATCAGTTACTGTACAGTACTTCACATGCAGATGTTACCAGTTCAATATTGGCCCGTTTCCACTGACTGGTATGGTACGGTATGGTTCAATTTGCTTTTATGGCCGTTGTGACTGTGGAAAGGTACCAAAAAGCGAACCATACCGTACCACTTTTTGGGTAACCTCTTGGAAGGGTGCCTAGCACACCAAAAGGGTACCAAAAAGTGGAGCAAGATGCACAGCTGAACGCTCTGGGTTTAAAAAGGTCACTAGCTTGTGCACAAGCAGGAGCACAAACAAGAGTGACACGTAAAAAAATAAAGGAGCAAATGATTCTTTCAGCAACCTAAAACATGAACAAACTACCATGTTTAATTATTATCATCGCCTTTTGGACTATTATGAACTCAGAATGACAGAATTACTTTTAACAAGAGGTCAAAGATTAAAGATGCAGTTGAGAAGTTTGTACTGACCGGGCTGTTTACGAACTGTTTATTCAGTTAAACATGAATTTTAAACTGTAGGCCTACATAAGCCCCAAACAACAATTTTTATCACCTTAATCCAGGGTTGCTCAATTCTGTTCCTGGAGCTCTACCGTCCTGCAGATTTCAGTTGCTACCCATATCAAACACACCTGCCTGTAATTATCACGTGGTGTTCAGCTCCTAATTAATTGGTTCAGGTGTGTTTGATATAGGTAGCAACTGAAATCTGCAGGAAGGTAGATCTCCAGGAACAGGATTGAGCACCCCTGCCTTAATCCAACTAAAGTCATAACTGAACTAAACAGAAATAGAATTAAGACACGTGGAGTATGCATATATTAGTGGTATTATTGAAGTAAACACCACGATCAAACTATTACCGTCATGTAGAACTTTTTGCCATATTTTCTGCCAAGATCCACAAACGTGGCTGTCAGAAAAGGACCGCGCACACACACACATCGCGAAATGTGTAAGTTTTTTTTTCTTTACATTTGGCGTGCATTGTTAAAAATACCAGCCAGGTAAAATATCGAGTCATCAGAGCTTGCGTAGATGAGACCCAGCTCCCAACCCAACTTTGAGAATAGATTAACAGCAATATTTTTTTATCACACGATAAGAGTCTTGCGTTAACACAGCACGTTAACGCAGATAACGGCCCACCACTAGTAAAAAATACACTGTGGACCACCCCTTAAATATACAATGTGACCAAGTATTCTACATTTTGGATGGGCTGAGGTGAAAAAAAAATAAATAAATGAAAGATAGGATAAGATAGATATGTTTTTCATCAAAAACAACCATTCAGGATTTTACTGTAAACTAATTGCGAAAATACAAAAGGAACACAGATTATTGGAAAGCATTTTGCAAGAAATACTATTTTCAGGACTATGGTTTTTAAAATATTGTTTAATTTAGTGTTTTACTTGATGTTGATTAGTAATTGACAATACATTTCTGAAACAATTTTTCAAAGTAACCTTCAAATTAGAGAGAGCAGCATTAAGAAGAATCAGATTGGTGCATTAGGAAGAACCTTGAAACCCTGTTTCCACTGATTGTTCGCAGTGCACACGGCAAGATGACATTATAAATGAACAGGCCCTGCTGGGACTAACTACAAATCAATTAATGTTTGTTACAAAAACGCTCAATAGCTTCTCACAAAATGCAGACCATTAACACAGACAAAGAAGAAAGAGAAAAAAAACCTGTCTGGAGATGGAACGTCTTCTTTCGGCAGACAAGACATGAGGGTTAAAGTGATAAACACTCTTCAGCATTACCCAGAACACTTCACCTCACATCAAATCAAGCCCGACCGAGCTCAGCACTTCACAAAGCATTTAATGGGCTTTCTTGATCCTGAGATGCAAACTGCATTGCTTGGTGCCTTTGACATTCAAAGGTAAGACAATCTCGGCTAATGATAGGCTGACAGCAGATGCACTCCTCCTTCGGTAGGTGATGGGAATGGCTCTTTCAGTCATGGCATGTTTGATTATGCCTCTGCAGCAATTGATGTAGTTAAAAGGAGGTTTCTAGTTTTATTTCTTTTTTTTCGCTCTCTGCCATTAGGAATGACATTATGTGGATCTTCTGCCCCATGGGACGTGATCGAGTGTCCAGAGTAGGTATGAGCCTTCATCGAGGGGCTTTTATAAGCATGGCTGCAGACGTACCGTCCGAGGCTAATGTGAAATCTGCATGAGCGAAGGGAAACTCAACTCCATCACGAGGACTGCTGGCTCCGCTCTTATGAGTAAAGTGATGGCAGCTCCGGAGCGCCTGCAATTACTCACTGAATGACCTCATGGCGTGTAAAAGACACAATGCACTTGCTCAGTCACAGTCTTGCCTATTTCACCCAGTGTGCAAAGGGGGCATGCTCTAACAAAAGTGTCAGATTTGTGAGGCAAATGGTAAAAAGCATTTTGAGTGCAAGTAAAGTGTCTGTGTTAACGTTTTACTTATGTTTGAGGGAGAAAAACTGAATATGAATAAAATAATTCCAATTATTACTGTGAAAAAAAAAACATTTTTATTTACCTGCACTTACTAAAATATGTTAAATAAGATAAAATAAGAAATATATATATGCCATATATTATTACATTACATCAAATATATTCATTTATAAATTATTTTATAATACGTCTTAACTATTAAGATATTTAAATATATTGAATTAGTTTCGGGGTAGCACTGTGATCTTTAAAAATAATAATATAGATATATAATCATTCACAAATGAAAAAGAATACTAATTATTCTGATCTTTACTTATTAAAATATGTAAAATAAGATAAAATAAGAATAACTTAATAATATATTATTATATTAAATCAAACATATTTACTCATTTACTGAATTATCCTTAGTTTATTTATTGTTATTATTTATTAACTTAAATATTCATTATTTTATCATATGTCTTTATTATTAAGATTTTTAATTAAATTTAATTAGTATTTTGGGGCTGCGATCATTTAAAATAATAATATAGATATATTAATTTATAAATTGAAGCGAATACTTATTATTCTGATTAAAATATGTCAAATAAGATAAAATATGAAAAGATTATGCCATATATTATTATATTAAATCAAATTTATTTTTTTTTCACTTAAATTATCCTTTTAATTTCATTTATTATTATTTATTATTTTAATTATTATTATTATTATTATTATATAAAACATCTTTATTATTAAGATTTTTATTGATATTTAATTAGAATTATGGGGCTGCACTGTGATCTTTAAAATTATAATATTGATATATCCATTCAAAAATAAAAGAGAATGTTTATTATTCTGATTTGTACTTAATAAAATATATAAAATAAGATAAATTTAGAGCAAATTTTGTCATATATTATTATATTACATCAAGATATGTATTTATTAGCTTAAATTATCCTCATTATTTGATTTATTGTTATTTATTATTTTAATTATTTTTAATTTATAATACGTCTTTATTGATAAGATTTTTATTGACATTTAATTAGTATTTTGGGCTGCACTGTGATCTTTTAAAATAATAATATAGATATATTAATTCATAAATTGAAGAGAATACTTATTATTCTGATCTAAACTTACTGAAATATGTAAAATAATACGAAAGATATAATTGATGATCAAACTAAATTATTTAAATATATATATAATCAAATAACTATGTATTATTTTCAATTATTATATTATTATTATTATTATTATTATTATTATTATATACATCTTAATAATAACTATGATTAAGATTTAAAAGGACATCTAATTCATATTTTGTAACTGCACTTTGATCTTTAAAATGAATCAATCAAATGATTTTTGCTCCATTTTTAGCAGTTTAATTTATATTGGTTTGGAAAACTATATTGAGTACAGTACAAAAGTACAAAAATCTGAGCTAGTAAAAGAATAAAACACACACACATTCCTACAGAGTATAAGTCTCTATATGCAATTGAATGAGAGAGAAATATGAAATAAGAATAGATTATATCATATTACTACAAATATATTAATTTATTAACTTAAATTATCCTCATTAATTTATGTATTATTATTTATTATTTAAATTATTATTATTATTTTACATTAGGTCTTTATTATTTCAGATTTTTAATGATATTTAATTAGTATTTTTGGGTTGCACTTTGATCTTTAAAATTATAATATAGATATATCCATTCACAAATTAAAGAGAATGTTTATTATTCTGATCTATCTAAATTATATTCTATAAAAATCAAAGACGTTCATTTATTAGCCTAAATTATCCTCAATATTTTATTTATTATTATTTATTATTTAAATTATTATTATTTTAAAACACGTCTTTATTATTATTATTATAAATGACATTTAATAAGTATTTTGGGGCTGCATTGTGATCTTTAAAATTATAATATAGATATATTCATTCACGAATTTAAGAAAATGCTAAATAATCTGACCTATACTTATTAAAATATGTCAAATAAGATAAAATAAGAATAACTTATATGATATATAATTATGTTACATCAAAGATATTTATTAATTAACTTAAATTACCCTTATTATTTTATAATATGTATTTATTATTAAGATTTTTAATATTTAATTAGTATTTTGGGGTTGCACTGTGATCTTTTAAAATAAAAATCTAGATATATTCATTCACACAAATAAAAGAGAATGCTTATTATTCTGATCTCTACTTATTGAAATATGTAAAACAATACGAAAGATAAATTGATGATCGGACTAAATTTTATCACAGATTGAATTAAATCAAATAACTATGTATTATTTTCAATTATTATTATTATTATTATTATTATTATTATTATTATTATTATTATTATTATTATTATTACTATTATTATATAAATTCCTATTAATAATTATGATTAGGACTTAAAAGGACAAATAATTATTATTTTGTAAATGCAACGTGATCTTTGAAAATGAATCAATCAAATGAGTCTTGCTCCATTTTTAGCAGTTTGATTTATGTTGGTTTGGTGAAATATATTGAGTACAGTACAAAAGTACAGAATTCTGAGCTGACAGAACACACTATCAGTAAAATAACAAAACACACACACACACACATGATATTATACAGTATAAGTCTCTATATGCAACAGAATGAGAGAGAGTGGAATGAACGAAAGCGAAAGACCAGAAACCAATATAGAGGAAAAGCAGAAAGAAGGAGACAGAGAAATTCCTCATGAATAACTTATGAACATTTTGATTACCTATCAGGAAAAAAACGGAAACATTTTGTTTTCCCTGGCACATAGCTAACAAGGCACTTGCATACATTTTAAACCAAACGGCCTGATTGAATTTATCTATGATTTAAAGCCCTCCGTAGCATTTGAAGCCATGCTGAGCTTTAATATTCCTCTCACAGGACGGCATTCTATCCAAGAATGAGAGCGTATTTCCCTAATGTAGGTGGGCTTTGGAGAACAGCCTGTCAATTCAAAGCAATTTGTGGCGCACACACGCCTGCGCTCGCTGTATTGCGCCGCACACATGCAAGAGTACAAGATCCCTCTTTTTTGCCACTCTCTCTCTAACTCTCACACTCCCTTAATCATAAATGCATCACAATCACACAGCAGAGATGGCATAAGAGAAAGATGGAGCACAAGAGAATAAGACTCCTACAAAAACAACAGCCACAGTGCCTATCAGCAATTATGTAAAACGGCTGTATCTGCCGAAGGAAGAGGGGGGGAATGAAACTCCAGGGAGACAGAAGGAAAATCGTATCACGACTTGCCACACTTACCCTCCGTAGCGAAGAGATCTGGGATTTTCGAGCCCTGCCCGGACTGTTTGGCATAGAAAATGGAGCCATCGCCGTCCACTCCTGGTTTTGCGAACTGCAAGAGTAAAGAAAGCAATCTTCAAATAAAGACCATACATGGCTTTGATTCGATCTGATGCTTAAAGTGTGTCTACAATCCATTGATAACAAGAAACAACTGTTTCCAGCACAACCCGTTCCTTCCTCTTTTACTCTCTTTTTCACATTTTCCATTGACCTCAATTTTTCATGAGCTGATATGCTTTGTAGCTCCCCTGCGACCGGCACCGTATTGAATTCATCTGGTTCCAATACATCCCATGCACAACCTATCAATCACCAGAGAGCACAGCAAACTAATCATTTATTGATGAAACAGGGCAGCCATGAATTTCTAACTGCAATAGTCTTATTTATCAAGCCAGATCAAACAATGAGGATCCAAACAAGCTTTAAGAAAGAGACTTGCAGGGAATAACTTATTCTTCAGCAGACGGCAGACAGTTACTGATGATGAAAAAAGAAGACTGGGGCTCTGGAGACCCGGAGAGAGAGAGAGAGAGACGGAACAGTGGGAAGAGAAGTTTAGAGTGATGCTTTGACAGCAGGATGCATGTCTGAATTAATACTCCCACAAAAGGTAATTTTCTTGCAGCAGGCACTGCATACCGGATCCACCATTGGGAGCAAGGTGAGCCATTTCTGGCACAGTGAGGGAAAGAGAAGGCTTAATACATTTTTCTCCAGCTCTTGCCACTGTTAGTTGGCTCCATAGAGAGGCAGCTAGGGGGTACTTCACTGATCTCCGTCTTCCAGTGGTACACACTTCGGGCAATGGTGTTTGCAAGCCCACTAACATGGGGCCTGGGGAATAGCGGAATATTTGTTCTACTCGCTTGCTTTTTCAAAGCAAACTCTGCCTGACATCCCTTTGAATTTGAACAGCTGTTGGTGGGCAAAGGAGAAATAAAACAACAGCACTGCCAAAAGTTCAGCTAGAATATTCAATTCAGGAATTCGTTCAGAATTCAACTTCGTAAATGAAAGTTTTAGGGTGAACGTGTGGAATTGACAGACTGAAAAAAAGTTTGGAGGAAAATGCAGGAAACTCAAGAGGTTGTTGTGAAACAGAAAACATTCCCAGTTTGCTGTCAAAAATTCACCAACCCGCCAAGGTATGGTCTCTACAAGACCCCCCGAAGGTGTCCTGTGGAGACATCAGCAGGAGATCCTAAAAAACAGAGTGACGTGACCGACAACTATGGTAACCCATACTCAGAATGTGTTTTTACTTCATTCAAGCCATCCAAACAGTGACACAAACCTGGAGCGGTGGGAAGCCATTTTGCTGTGCTGCCCGAAGAGCAACTAAAGGTTATCTGACTTGCTCAAGGGCACCTTAGTTGTGTATACTGAGAACATTGTTCATTCACTCACTTCAACTTACAACAGTATTGGGAATCAAACATGCAACCTCTGGGTTACAAGTCAGACTCTATAATCACCAGGCTTTAGTTTTCGAGGTAGAGCTGCCAAGGAACTTGTTGGTCCAGCACATCCCACAAATGCTCAAATGGCTTAAGAATTGGAATTTGGAAGCCAGAGAAACACCTTGAACTTTTCATTGCAGTCGTCAGACTAGTTGCAAACAATGTGTGCTAGTGTATATTATCCTGCTTAAAGAGGCAGCTTCCATAATTTTCATCAAATTGTGAAACTTATTATCACTTGTTTGGCTGGATCCCAGGTTTCCTAGCTTTGTACAGCAGTTTGCTGACTAACAGTGCTGTAGTTTCTTTTCTTTCTTTCTTTCTTTCTTTCTTTCTTTCTTTCTTTCTTTCTTTCTTTCTTTCTTTCTTTCTTTCTTTCTTTCTTTCATTAATTTTCCTTCGGTTTAGTCCCTTTATTCATCAGGGGTTGCCACAGTTTTGCACAGTGGATGGCCTTCCAGCAGCAACCTAGTGCTGGAAAACACCCAAACACTCTCACATGCACACACATACAATACGGCCAATTTAGTGTATTCGATTCACCTATACCGCATGTCTATAGATTGTGGGGAAAACCAGAGCATACGGAAGAAACCCTCGCAAAAAAACTGAAAAGGTATGACAGAAATGCCAACTTGCTGTGAGTTGACAGTGCTAACCACTGAGCCACCGTGTTGCCCCATACTTTTTCAACACCAGTTTAGATAGTTCAGATAAACTACCCTTAAGCTGTATGTACAACAAATTGTAGCCTGCTGCTTTACTTGACAGTCTGATGGTTTCCTCCAATCTAACTAGGAAACCCTTCACAATATTGCTTACATTTTCCAATTATGAAGTTGTAATTACAAGCACATAATGTTCATGAGCTTTCTCGTTAGAAATCCTGGAGGTTAATTTTTGTCTCTTTCTTTAGGAATTCTTTTTATCATTAACCATTATTTTGATGGTCGTATTTTTCACTCATATTCTTTACCATAACTTATATTGTAACTACATGCTAACTCATTCTTATTAGAGCATTAGTAGCTGTCTGCTTAATATCTGCTTCTCCACCAACAGACATTCTCCTGACTATCAGAAACTATGCAAGTACTGTATGTCAACTACATTAACCCTAACTCTATCCCCATTTTTACAATCCACTAATACTCTAAGAATCTGTTAAAAAATGTGTTAAAGGAACCATCAAAATTAAGAGATTGCAATAAAAACAAGATATTTTCAAATGAAATGTAGCATTCGTTTAAATATTCTGCTTTTAATTTTTGAACTGCGATCGAATAAATGTTGTTTTTACAGAGTAAAATGTTCATCCACTAGTTAATTATGTAAATATACATTATTTTAACAGCAACATACATCAATTATGTTATGTGTGTGTGTGTGTGTGTGGGGGGGGTTGGGGGGGGGGGGATTACTTCCTGTAGTTATGTAGTTAATTCCTACATATTTTAAAGAGGACAAAACAAATCACTGAGGTGACTGGTACATTTATATTATAGCCAGGTAAATGAGACCTTACTCGGTAGTGGAAAATTCAGGTTTTAACTAATTAAGCCTCGTTACATTATTCCATCATGAACCCATTTTAGTTAGACAATAATTCCTGCTCTCAGATCCACTGAATCCACACTCACTCACACTCATACAATTTACAGACAATTTACATTACCCAATTCACCTGTACCACATGTCTTTGGACTTGTGTTGGAAACTGGAGCACCAGGAGGAAACTCACGCGAACGCGGGGGAACATGCCAACTCCACACAGATATGCCAACTGATTCACCTGGGGCTCAAACCAGTGCCCTTTTTGCTGTGAGGCGATTGTGCTACCCGCTGTGCCACCGTGAAGCCCACTGAGTTCCGTATAATATATAATTTTTTATATAAAGCATTTTTGTTTTGGGTATAAAAGAGGTTTTGTTTTATTTGCTAGAAGAAACCCTAGAAGCTCTATCACAGTTCAAAGTATAAGAAAAAAAAATTGTAGTTTTGATAAAAATTGAAAAGAAATTGTCTTTTTTTTTTTTTTACTTTATCAAAAACGTACTGAACCGTTATACCACTGTGTCATACAACCGCTCCATTATTTTTGTGAACTGTTACACCCCTAGTGGGCATATATTGTATTTTTTAGAGATGAAATGTATATGTTTTAGACTCGTGCAAAATATTCTTGCTAGTTGGTCATTGACTGTTGTCTTTTCATTTACAATTAAATTACAGGACCAGAATAATGTGACAAGGTGATAATACAGTCTGCAATTGGCTTATTGGATCACAACTACACAAAGGACTTGTTTTCACCTGGTGTTTTAATCCATCTCGTGTCCACAATCCATCCCTTGAGTCATAGGTGTACAGTATATATGGGCTTTTCTGATCTTTCTTTCTATTATTGCAAAATAAGCTCACACAATTTATGAACATAAAAAGTAGACACTGTGGGTTTGTGTGGCCTCATATAAGTGTTTGGTAGATTCTATTGAAAAAAAAATGCATGTGCACACAAAACCACACAAGTTTTTAGATATGTGAAACAGTGTACACAAGAACCTGCACCAAATCCCTCTAGTCAGTGGAAGATTGTGCTTTCATGCATCATCACTTCTCTAAAAAACACACACATGGTGCTTACATTGCCTAGATTTACTATGCATAACTTCATCTGCATATGATTTCCATATGTAAATTCTGATCTGTTGAAACATAACCACGTGACTGTTTAAGCGTATCAGACTCTAAAAAGTATGAAAATAAGAAATACTGACAATAAATGGATTTGTGTTGTCACATTGCATCTTTAAGTATTTTGACTTGTTTTAATAAACAAATACAAACTTCTGTGTGTGCGTGTGGGTATAATGTCTTGTAATTTGAGAATTTGAGTGGTTACTCCTCTAATGAGAATGTAATATATTATCAAATAAATATATTAACAGGGAAACAGAATTTAAAAATCATTGCTTACTTCATTACTTCCCTCACACCAGTAAATGTGTGTATTCAATTAGTCTAAGGTGTCCATTCAGTGCCTTTTTTTTAATAAATGTAGTTGGAAATTCCATGCACCCATTATGTGCATATGCACTGTGCCGCCCTGTTCCAATCATGATGTTCAAAAAATAAATAAACAAAAATTTAACTAATATCACTACATTTTGCTAGCAATAGTGCCAATAGTACCCAACAATCGTTGCAAAGTACTCCACAAAATTTGAATTCTGCAACTTTACTCAATGATTTGACAAAATAGTCCAGTCGGTCAGAAGAGTCCCGTGGCAAGGAATTAGCTTTTCACAGCACATCTGGTGTAATGTACATGAACATGAGCAGTGGTGTAAAGTAACACACAACAAATACTTTTGTATTTGTAATTGTAATTTTGTAATTGAAATTTGCTAAGTAGATTTAAAAATTACTTTACTTTACAGTTTTAATGCTGTATTGGTACTTTAACTCCACTATTTTCCTATAGTCACTACTTTATTTTTTCTTGTCTATGGAGATTGGCTGAGTAGAAAACTCAGTCCTGTGATTCCTGTCCAATCAAATCGCACATAGATGGTAAATCGCACCA